CTGACCAGGATGGTGATTGTGAAATGCTCAGGAAGATTAGAGAGGCTATAAAAACAGAAAACCCAATAATAATGGGGGATTTCAGCTATCCCCATATTGCCTGGGAACATGTCACCTCAGGACGGGAGGCAGAGATACCATTTCTAGACACCACTAATGACAGCTTCTTAGAGCAGCCAGTCCTGGAACTCCAAAGGTCAGAGGCAATCTTGATTTAGTCCTAAATGGCACACAGGATCTGGTCCAAGAGGTGAATATAGCCGAACTGCTTGGTAATAGTGACCATAATGTAATTAAATTTAACATCCTTGTAGGGGGAGAAACCCACCACGCAGCATTTAACTTCCAAAAGGGGAACTACACAAAAATGCACAAGCTAATCAAATGGAAATTAAAAGGAACAGTCATAAGAGTGAAATGCCTGCAAGCGGCATGGAAACTTTTTAAAACCACCACAATAGAGGCTCAAACTACATATAGACACAAAATAAAATACAAAATACTAAGAGGGCCAAAAAAAATGCCACTATGGTGAAACAAGTAAAAGTAACGTAAAAGCGGTGGTTAGAGGCAAAATGACATGCTTTAAAAATTGGAAGGAGGGAAAAAAATGGTCTTCTTAACCTCTGAGGATAGGACAAGAAGCAATGGGCTTAAATTGCAGCAAGGGAGGTTTAGGTTGGACATTAGGAAAAACTTCCTAACTGTCAGCGTGGTTAAGCACTGGAATAAATTGCCTAGGGAGGTTGTGGAATCTCCATCTGTGACATTATTGATATAATCTGGGACCATATAGAACATAGTTGCAACCAAATTCCTGTAGTGGCACCAAATCTTGTAAAAAGGGGATCTATGACAAGGTTATGGTTTGCTGGTTATGATTATGCTGTCTATATGTGTGTATCAATTTTGTAGTTGAAGTTATGAATGTTGGCTCTGTACTGTATGTATTTCAAACTTACGCTATGCTTCTGGGAGACATCCCAGACAAGTTGGTGTTAGCTCTGCCTAGCCTGCTTGATGGCCCATTAAGGATCATCAGCTATACAATTGATCCATGGAGAGAAGGCAGATACGCCTTGTAACTCAGCAAAGTATGCAGGAACTTCCCCATGTGACTCCAGACTCCATTTTGCTGTAATTTTCCACAGTAAGAACAAATAGGTGTTCTTACACCTGGAAAAGACTATAAAAGGCTGATGCCTCGTCTCCATCTTGTCTTCAATCCTGCTTCTTACTTCTGGAGGGACTTTGCTACAAACAGAAGCTCTACACAAAGGACTGATGACCCATCCCAGCTGGGGATGTATTCCAGAGACTTGATTTGAACCTGCAGTTTATTCTATCACTGCTACAAGCCTGAACCAAGAACTTTGCCACTACTGTATGTAATCGATTCCATTTAACCGATTCTAACTCTCATCTATATCTTTTCCTTTTATGAATAAACCTTTAGATTTTAGATTCTAAAGGAGTGGCAACAGCGTGATTTGTGGGTAAGATCTGATTTGTATATTGACCTGGGTCTGGGCCTTGGTCTTGTGGCATCAGGAGAACCTTTTTTCTTTTACTGGGGTATTGGTTTTCATAATCATTTATCCCCATATCGAGTGGCACTGGTGGTGATACTGGGAAACTGGAGTGTCTAAGGGAATTGCTTGTGTGACTTGTGGTTAGCCAGTGGGGTGAGACCAAAGTCTTCACTGTCTGGCTGGTTTGGTTTGCCTTAGAGGTGGAAAAACCCCAGCCTTGGGCAGTAACTGCCCTGTTTAAGCAATTTGTCCTGAATTGGCACTCTCAGTTGGGTCCCGCCAGAACCGCATCATCACACCATCATTAGGATTTTTAAGAGCAGGTTGGACAAACACCTGTCAGGGATAGTCTAGATAATACTTAGTCCTGCAATGAGTGCAGGGAACTGGACTAGAGACCTCTCGAGGTCCCTTCCAGTTCTATAATTCTATGATCCTATATAAAGGAGTATAAATTCTGGCAAGTCAGGTATAAAACTATAATTAGGCAGGCCAAAAAAGAATTTGAAGAGCAAGTAGCAAAATGCACAAAAACTAAGACATTTTTTTAAGTACATCAGAAGCGTCAAGCCTGCCCAACAATCAGTGGGGCCACTGGACAATCAAGGTGCTGAAAGAGCACTCAAGGAAGATGAGGTCATTGTGTAGAAGCTAAAGGAATTATTTGCATCGGTCTTCACTACAGAGCATGTGAGGGACATTCCCAAACCTGAGCCATTCTTTTTAGGTGACAAATCTGAGGAACTGTCCCAGACTGAGGTGTCATTAGAGGAAGTTTTACTTTTACTGGGGTATTGGTTTTCATAACCATTTGTCCCCATATAGAGTGGCATGGTGGTGATACTGGGACACTGGAGTGTCTAAGGGAATTGTCACACAAGCAATTCCCTTAGACACTCCAGTTTCCCAGTATCACCACCAGTGCCACTCGATATGGGGACAAATGGTTATGAAAACCAATACCCCAGAACAAATTGATAAACTAAGCAGTAATAAGTCACCAGGTCCAGATGGTATTCATCTAAGAGTTCTGAAGGAACTCAAATATGAAATTGCAGGACTACTAACTGTGGTATTTAACCTGTCATTTAAATCAGCTTCTGTACCAGATGACTGGAGAATAGCTAATGTGATGCCAATTTTTTTTAAAAGGCTCTAAAGGTGATCCTAGCAATTATAGGACAGTAAACCTAATTTCAGTACCAGGCAAATTAGTTGAAACTCTAGTAAGGAACAGAATGATCAGACTCATAGATGAACATGATTTGTTGGGGAAGAGTCAACATGTTTTTTGTAAAGGGAAATCATGCCTCACCAATCTACTAGAATTCTTTGAGGGGGTTAAAAAGTATGTGGATAAGGGGGATCTAGTGAACATACTATACTTGGATTTTCAGAAAGCCACAAGATCCCACACAAAGGCCCTTAAGCAAAGTAAGCAGTCATGTGATAAGAGGGAAGGTCCTCTCAGGGATCAGTAACTGGTTAAAAGATAGGAAACAACGGGTAGGAATAAATGTTCAATTTTTATAATGAAGAGAGGTAAATAGCAAGGTCCCCCAGGGATCTATACTAGGACCCCTGCTGTTCAACCAATTCATAAATGATCTGGAAAAACTGGTAAACAGTGAGGTGGCGAAGCTTGCAGATGATACAAAACTACTCAAGATAGTTAAGTCCAAAGCAGACTGCAAAGAGTTACAAAGGGATCTCATGTGACTGGACAACAAAATTAAATTCAATGTTGATAAATGCAAAGTAATACACATTGGAAAACATAATCCCAACTATACATATAAAATGATGGGGTCTAAATTAGCTGTTACCACTCAAGAAAGAGATCTTGGAGTCACTGTGGACAGCTGTCTGAAAACCACCATTCAAAGTGCAGCATCAGTCAAAAAAGTGAACAGAATGTTAGGAAACATTAGGAAAGGGATAGGCAATAAGACAGAAAATATCATCATGGCATTATATAAATCCATGGTGCGCCCACACCTGGAATACTGCGAGCAGGTCTGGTTACCTCATCTCAAAAAAAAAAATTGGAATTGGAAAAGGTTCAGAGAAGAAGAACAAAAATGATTAGGGGTTTGAAACAGCTTCCGTATGAGGAGAGATTAAAAAGACTTGGACTGTTCATCTTAGAAAAGAGATGACTAAGGGGGGGGGATATGATAGAGGTCTATAAAATCATGACTGGTGTGGAGAAAGTAAATAAGGAAGTGTTATTTACTCCTTCTCATAACACAAGTACTGGGGCCACTCAATGAAATTAACAGGCAGAAGATTTTAAACAAACAAAAGGAAGTCTTTCTTCTCACCACGCACAGTGAACCTGAGGAAATCGTTGCCGGGGATGTTGTAAAGGCCACAAGTATAACAGGGTTCAAAAAAGAGCTAGATCAGTTCCTGGAGGACAGGTCTATCAATGGCTATTAGCCAAGATGGGCAGGGACAACAGCCCCCTGCTCTGGGTGTCCCTAATTTCTGACTGCCAGAAGCTGGAACTGGCTGACTGGATGGCTCACTCGATAATTGACCTGTCCATTCCCTCTGGGGCACTTGGCATTGGCCACTGTTGGCAGACAGGATACTGGGCTGGACGGAGCATTGGTCTGATCCAGGATGGCCATTCTTATGAATATGGAGAAGTTCCCAGGGAGCGAGTCTGGGGCAGGGAGGGGACCGCGTGTGCGGGAGGCCCGTGCCTGGCCGCTCTCAGAAGCGGTGCTGGAAGAAGCACCCTGAGAAA